TACATGTCATGTATAGTGACAAGACTTTAAATTATGCAGGAATGTACTGAACCACTTAGAAAAACTCTGATATATTTAAAAAAAGATTACAAAGCCCTCTGTTTATATTACATTCTAGAGATAAAGGACATTGGAGAGACTGCAGCATACATATGTGTACTCATACATACATGTCATCATTCTCACGGCTGCATGATTCAAGAAAATAGCACGTCGCAACAAAACTCAATATATACCTTTTCATAAAGGAGAGTTGGACACCGGTATCAATAAGTTAATAAAATATATTCTTTGCTTCTTGCTATATCTTACAGTGAAACCTGAAATTGGTCCCTGTTGGACATTAAAAACTGACATACTTTTTGTGACCCAAAACAATCGGTCTCAAAACTACCAACGATAAACAAAGAAACACCACAAAAAATTACAGAGATAACGGCCATTATTTGGCCTGAAGTTTTCAAGGATTTAAATTCATTTAAATGTTTGTCAAAGTAATTCCTACAGCAAAAGACAAAAACATTTCAATGTTATGACTAGTTGCTGTAGGTTAAAGGTCATTGGACTACAACAGTTGCGCAAATGACTCAATGTTTTCTGATTGTGAAAACTATTGTTTTGTTTAGATTTTGTTAAAATTGTAAGGCTTGCTATGCTTCTTGGTGAGGTAAGTCTGGGCACAAATAAACTAGAGGTACATTCTAAAAAAGTTTGGGGCATCAGTTTGTCTTTTAAAGCAAACATCATCCTCAATCCACCATTTGGAAGCTGAGAGACACACGTGATATACATACATGTCAAAAGTAATATGATTTTTTTTTTCCCAGGATAGACCAATGAAATTGAGGATTTGCCCAAAGTGGAATAAACAGATTAGCTGTTTCACACCAAGATGGCATCCATGATGGCAAAGTCAAAACATTAACAAACATTTCAATAGTAAGAAAAGCAAAAAAAAAGAAAGTAGTCTACATATGGCACCAAAGAGTATGAGACAACAGACTAAACGTTTGGTTATCCAAAAAGGTTATAAGAAATGTCTGTATCTCAAAGAGGTCATTTCTCCCCTAAACCAATTCCACTGCTGCCCATCTCAGAGTCCACTAGTGAGGAGGCAAAGGCTGACTGGACGATCTGAAAACCAAAGGATTCAAGAAGTGACATATTTTGTTGGGGGGAAAAGGGTGAGCCGAGATCTCCGAGACCGGACCCGGCTGCAGCACGTTTCTTATGAACCCGGTGATGGTGCTTGTTGAGGTAAGACTTTGTGCGGAAGGTCTGGCCGCAATCGCCGCACGCAAACTTCTTTTCTTGGTCTATTTTTTGGATGTTTTTGGATCCCCCCGGCGAGGTCACTGCATCCTCAGGTTGGCCATTGAAGATGAAAGATGTCACCTCCATTTCTTCTCCTTCAACTTTCTGTTCAGCTTTGAGGTCCGTTCCGTTGGAAAGGTCACCGAAAACTGCATCCGATCCATCAGAATCCTGATGGGGGCATTTCCCAGCATTCTCCTGCCCGTCTGAGGTAAACACAGAGTGGGGAAGGGGATATCAGGGAAGGAGGGGGACAGAGAGATATATAGGAAGAGAGAAGGAGCCTCACATTTAGCAACATATCTAAAAATAAAATGATTTCCTTTATACCTGAACCCTCATGACCACAACAACTACTTGTGTAAACCTGTTTCAATATAAAAACAGCTTGGCTATCACTGAACATTATATTGTGGCTTGTCTAATTTTTTGTGCTATTATACTTTGGTTAAGAAAGAGAAATAAGGGAAACTGCATCCTATTGTGTCCAGCACCTAAAGGAAAAATAATTCAGATTCAGATTATTCAGTCCACTGAGTACCTCTAGACTCTAGAGCAGTGGCACTTAACTTTAGTTTGGAAGCAAAAATTACTAATTCCTTTTGTTTTCAAGATTTCATCATTTCGGTCATTATTTACTCACCCTCAAGTTGTTCCAAACCTGTATGAATTTCTTCCTTCCATGGAACACCATAGAAGATATTTTGAAGAACTCTGGGAACCAAACAACATTGGAGCCCACTGATTTATATTGTATGGACAAGAAAATATCTCAATTTCTTATTTTATGCTCCACAAAATAAATAAAGTCAAACAGTTTTGGAACAACATGGAGGTGAGTAAATGAAGACAATTTTTATTTTTAAGCAAACTATCCCTTTAAAAATGTTGAGACTTCTTCGCCACAAAGTAGACACTTTCCCCATACCAATCAACAACCACAAAAAATTGAGTCCCAATTCTTTACTATTTTTTAGTGCTTTTTTCCACATGTACATTATTGAAATTTAGCCTGAACTAGCTAAGTAGGTCTCCTAGCTGCTAACAACAAAGCGACACTTCAGAGCATGAGACCAAAAGATCATTTCTGATTGGCTAAGAAGCACCTTATTAGGGAAAAATGAGAACTTGTGCTACAACACTGTCATTAAAGAGTCACACATTAAATCTCTATAGCAACACATTGAGTACCAAGGGTCTAGAGTTCCAGGCTCTTTAACTCTATTCCACTATTTTGTACTCAGAATATAATTATAATTTAAACTCCAGTGGGCTACAGGGCATTTTATGAACTAGAACTATGATTAAATACAGTCCAGTTCTTATAAAAACAAAGTATAAACTACGAAAAACAAACGAGGTCAGAAGTGGGTGCTGTTAAAGCAAACAGATGAAAATCAAGCAGCACTGAGAACCACCAGACAAAAGCATGAGCAAAATACTGACGAGCCAATTATGTAAGAACTTAAATCAGACCAATATTTTACTTATCTTGTAAAAGTCAACTGTGCTGCTTAGCAGATATTTGCACCAGACTTATCGGTTACAGCATCCAGACATCCTCAGTTCTTTGGCTCACCACATTGCCACCCTCCAAACAGCCCGTACTGACCTGTAAGAGGTCCATGAAGTGGAAACCCTGGTGCTCCAGAAGAGCGGCACTCCCAGAAATAGGGAGTTGGACCTGGCTTGCCCAGAAGCAGCTCAGGCTGCAGGCCCAGGGCCGGAGGGACGGGCTGGGGTAGAACTGGCCCAGTTAGCCCCCGAAAAGTCTCGGGAAAGGTAACCAGGAGCCGGCGACTGGTGCAAAGGTCTACACCGCCAGTAACCGCCCCAAGAGGTAAGAGATATGGATAGAGGAACACACAGAGAGGCCAAGGGGGACAATTCGCAGTCAATACAGTCAGATGACCACTAGCTTCACATCAGTTCAGAAACCATCAAAAATTATGAAAATTGTTTGTTCAAAGCTAAGATGACAAAAATAACTTTTAAATGAATGAATCTTTTTCTTTCATTACACGCCAAGCCAGCAGCTCAATGATACTGTTGGAGTGATACTGTAATGACAATTCTGTACTGATGTAAAGTTAATGCTGCCTTTCTGATGTATTTCTGCATTAAGTTTTGCCTATTAACCCACTTGAAACAAGAAAAACATTTAATTTGAATAATTCTTGGCGTCTCCATTACGAAGGAATCATGGAAAGATTCTAGAACACAGTCCTTTAGAAAAAAAAATGCTGTCTCCATATTGTTTCCCATCATGTTCAATAAAGACATTCCCAATCACAAGCTGCTGGATTTTATGGCAATAATTGTTTGAAAAAGGTCCATTAAATCCACAGAAACAATGCACAGCGTGTACATGTGCACTTATGTGGACATGCATGAATGAAGGATCAAAAACGCTTTCATTATGCCAGCACTTGATGGAGATGATAGTAAGCCACACAGAATGGACACATGGCCATGCTAAATTGGTCAGCAGCAATGTAAGTGACTAGCAGACAAAGCTGATTGATAGGGCTGCAACTATTATTTAACTCGTGACTTAAATCAATTGTATCTCTAAATTCAGTTTATTTAAATCAAGACTACTGACGAAACCTGAAGTAATAGTTCACCCAAAAATGAACATTTCCAAGTTTGTTTGTTCATTGGAACGGATCTGGAGAAACTTGCTCACCAATGGATTCTCTGCATTGAATGGGTGCCATCAGAATTAGAGCCCAACCAGCTAATGAAAACATCATAATAAGTAATCCAGACTAAGCATTATTATAGATTATGGACTTGTATTTTGGCCAGAAGTGATGGTTTAAAGTTAAAATGCCTTAATAATGGATTTGGCATTTTTACAAACACACAGTTTTTACTTCACTAGATGTTAACTGATGGACTGGAGTCGTGTGGATTACTTGTGGATTATTGAGATGCTTTTATCAGCTGTACTGCAGAGGATTCATTGGTGAGCAAGTGAAGTAATGCTACATTTCTCCAGATCTGTTCCAATGAACAAACAAACTCATTTACATCTTGGCCTTAGGGTGAATACATTTTCAGCAAATTTTCATTTTTGGGTGAACTATTCTTTTTAAAAGTGAATCTTTTTAGTCTCCTTTTAGTATGTTTCCTGTAAGTCAAATAATGTCTTTAAAAAGAAGCTTGGATATTTTGAATAACGTTCTTAGAATTTACATCTGGCAGCTGTCCATTATAATCAAAAACCCTAAAGTTTACAAAATTACAACTCTACATATGCAATACTTCATCAGTCATACAAAAGTTCATTACAATTGCGCATTTTGGTATCCGCTTTGCTCTCTAACTCTACTAGCTGAGCTAAAGAAACTCATCCCTTAACATTCCTCTTAAAAAATGAAACACAACCCATACTTTCAGCAACAAACATCCTTTCTCATCCACTGAGAGAAAAGTCCTGAAAGATGGTGTGATATAGAGCAGAACAGCCAAATTCTAAACAACATAACCTTGAGTCCCTGCACGTTATGCTGCAATAAATGAAAGATGCGCAGCGCTACAATCTGTGTTTGCGGGTGAGTTTTTATGCAAGCAGATGCAGCATCTGATTAGCAGCAGTGAAAAAGACAGCAAGTGAGTGAGCAACAATTTGACGCTGTGGGGAGAGGCTTGCTTGCCTTCCACCACCCTCCATTTTTCTTGTTCGAGAAGTTGTTGTACTCGTATATATGTCACAGTAGGGTAGAAAAGATAATTGCAAGTTTCATGCCGATTATGTCAAGTCATTATTTACTGATATTCATCCCCTGCAGCAAACTGCTAACCACTGTGACCACCAGTGTTTTTACATGCACTTTAAAAGTTGTATTTCAGTCTGTCTAAAATCGTGCCAGTCAGGTTTTTGCAAAGTTAAACTAACAGACTAACAGATAATTCAACTTTACTTTGGCTTTGTCCAGCATGTATACATGTTAATCAGACTACAGTTGGCCTGACTGTTGTGCGCATGCTCCGAAAAAGCAGATATGACACACAACAGCTATTTCACCCCGTAAACCCACTGTAGCTTGATAATAACTACAAGTTAAACTAACCTGATCAATCTGGTTTGTGAATGAGTCATTTGCTGCATCTTAATTCACCAACTTAAAGTAGGGTAGACAAGTTTTGGGAAATACTACCATCAGGTCATAACTGCGTCTTTAATGGACCACTCTGTCACATAGTTACTTGCATCCTGTCACTGTAAAATGGCCTGTCAGTCTTAAAATGTCCTCATATGTACACACTCCACATTTCAGTTCATTTAATTTATGTATCAGGGTACCTTTGGAATACTAATTTCAACATACTACGATTTGGAACACACTAATTCTAAAATTGAATATTATTTAGGATGGATAGCATGAGAATGAGGACACAACGCAGCAAGTGAGACCAAATTTGTAAACTGCAGCAACTGATTCATTACAAAGATTTTAAAAAACGATTAATTAAATTCACTGAAAAAACGTTTGCTCACGTGCCAAGATTTTAAGTGAAAAACAATTAAAATTCAGAGGGCGGTTGCATATATTGCTTGGACTAGTCTTAAGTCATCTAACATTTTCTGCAGGACTGGTCAAAATATTTTAAAGTCCATTATATAAAAAGGTAGATTTGTCTAATTTGAATCCAAAAATTAAGACTGATTATCGCTTGGATACCTGCTAGTTAGTCAAACTAGTTCCCTATCAAGTTCCCTCCTTTCAGGGAACCGAGGTTACGTACGTAACCGGAGACGTTCTTAAGACACGGTCTTTAGATATTGGCTATGTTTACGCAACTGGTCCCAAGTCTGTTTCTCACACAAAACTTCATATGGCTTCATAATTTGTATGGACCATGTTTATTGTACTTTATGGTGCTTTTTGTCATTTTGGAGTATGACAGTCCTCAGTCACTTTCAATATATGGAAAAGAGTAACTGGAATATGATTCCAGAAATTCACTTTTTGAATGAAAGTCATACACATTTGAAACAACATAAGTACATAATAATAATAATAATTTATGCATTTAGCAGACGCTTTTATCCAAAGCGACTTACAGTGCATTCAGGCTATACATTTTTTACCAGTATGTGTAAGTACATAAAGTTTAGTATTTCTCACCTGACACTTGTGAGGTCTCTCTGTGGTGTGAACCTGTTTAATATGTCCATTCAGATGGTCTGGCCTACAAAAAAAATCACACAATTTATGACACAAATACATAAACGAATGCTCTAATTGTAATGAATGTATCTATAAATGACTGCACTCACCTGGAGAAACCTTTCCCGCAGCTTTGACAGACATACGGTTTACCCACAGAGCCGTCGTGAGACCGCACATGGTAAGACATCCTATCCTTGCGTTTGAAGCGCAGCCCGCACACCGGACACGCGTACGGTTTCTCGCCCGAATGTGACAGTTTGTGTCGGTTGAGGTGGTAGACGTCTCGGAAGACTTTCCCGCACAGATCACACGCGACGTGTCGTCTCGTTCTCTCGCGTTTACGGTTGTCCGCGGGCAGACCGTTTTCCTGAAACCTCGACTGGGGATGAGAGATCATCGTCGGGCCGTCCACAGCGACCAGCTCCGCTCCCGTGCTCACCCCGCCGGTGAACGTCCCGTGCTGCGTCTCGTGGTTTCTCAACTGGACGTCGTCTGGAAACATTTTACCACAAACCCCGCACGAGAAAATGCCCTCGTTTTCGTTTTGAGCAGTGCTGTTATTGTAAGTGATCGGCTCTGTTGTGGGCTCTTTTTTGGGTCTCCCTCTGCCTCGCTTGGAGCCGTCGCTGTTGGGAAACTCCAACGGGGAAACCGCTAAGCGACCGTCCGCTGGTGCTCCGGGAGCGACCGGCTGCGAACCGTTTCTCGGCTGCGTCGGATCGCCACTGTCACTGTCATTGTTGTCGGTAAACACAGGGCCGTTGGACACACTCCCGTTTGACATGTCCACGGGCAGGGGGTATGACAGCTGCTCCGCGGCCCTGAACAGGCTGTGCTCGCCTCCTCGGGAGGGAGGCACGAGGATCTGCACGTTGGATTGTTTGATGACCTCCTGACAGATCTCGATGACAGATCGCATGAGCAGAAACTTCGCCGCGGTCATGAGCTCCGGGAAGCACTCCAGGCGCACCACGATCTTAGAGGTGTACGCGAAGTCCAGGATGTCTCGGAAAACTTTGGGGCTGATCGTGTGCATCTCCAGCTCCTTGCCCTGGCCGTCGTCTTCCGTTTGACAGCTGAACACCGACTCAAAATACTCGCTGCACGCCGCCAACACTGCCTTGTGCGCGGGGAAGCTCTCCTCTCCGACGCGCAAGATAACATCACAAAACCTGCCTCCATCTTTTCTCTGGCTGTTGAGGTTGTGTAGCATCTCGGCGCTGTGTTTGCTCACCTGGTACGTGTAGGAGGAATTCCACGGCTGTTCTGTCCTCTCCATGCCGCCTTTATTCAACAACCGAGCCTAACTCATACGACGGAAGAGGTAGACAAAGGCAAACGAATGGCAAACACCCAGTAAACAGAAGCACTCAGCAGCGACCACCACTCCTCGCCTTTTTAGCATTTAACATGTTAGCAGGGGGGAAAATGGCAGCCCCCCAGCTTCCTGTGAACTTTGACCTTCCAGTTGCTTAAAGGGAGGGGGTGTCGTTCGCGTTTAATATTTTCTGTTTTAACAGTTTAATACATTACTTCAATCCAAAGATAACGCGCAGATACTAGTCATACACCGAAATTTAAGTTTCGTGTTCGTCTTCCTGGTTTGCAGCGTTATGATTTCACATCCTTGTTTTCCAGTGAGCCCCCACCCTCAAATGTATGCCAGACACTGAATACATGACAGCAGACTCGCTTTCGCTATACTGTAACATATTTAGAAAATATACGGTAAACGTGAACGAAATTCAAGTGAACAGTCAAAACTCTTGAAATGACACTGTAGTCTAGACAGTCTGCTCTCCTGAACTGCTAGTTTACTTTTCAATCACAAAGACACAAACAATAGAGAAATAATAGTTGTTGTAGACTGTACACTGGCTTGCAGTGTGTCTGGCTGCTGTATTGTTTGTAGTTGTGGTAATCAGATGTACAAATACTTAAGGGAAATATTACTCTTTAAAAAAAAAAAATCAAATATAATTACATAATGCAAATATTTTTTTGAATATTTTTTTTCCCCATTTACTCATCCTATTTTTATGCTTTTTATTATTGGTCTTGTCACTGTCATTCTGTTTCTGCTGTGGAAGCTTCGGTCACCAAAACAAATTCCTGGTATGTGTAAACATACCTGGCAATAAAGCTCTGATTCGGTCATATCACCCTGGTTTCACACCACAATATTTAGTTACTGTTTTTGAGCTCATTGTCTTTCTTGGGTGGCAAATCCAAATTTCTTCTTCGTTCTGTAAAACTGAAACTTTCCTACTCATAATTGCAATCAATTTAACCTCCATTTTGACTTTGTTTTGCCTTCATATTCATTTTGTGTTGTACTTTTATGTAGTTTGTCTGCTTTTGAGCTTTTTTTTTGTTTGTTTCAGTCCATGCATTATCCGGTGTGCTTGGGTTTGTAAAAAGCCTGATACAACAAAACAATATTGTGCAGAACAAAGTTCAGTAAAGGGAGTATGGCTTGGACATGCATGGATAACACTAGAACAGACTCCAATTTATGTACCAAGGACACCTGATACATGCAAAGCTATGAAATTCTACAGCATGCCACAGCAGTTTTGGCATTTTGAAAATACACTTGGCAAGAATAGACCAAGATGACTGTCTAATTACAGTGGGATATAAATGAACTGTGGCACAACACTGCAATATAGCTACATCCATTCAATGCAGAAGATTTGTTCCTCAATCAACCATTTGGAAAGTCTGCTTTTTTACTTTAAGACCTTGACATCAATGAGTCAGAAATACAATTTTATGTGAATGATTTTTTTAATTTTTTCATATTTATTAACTATTTGTGCTTCTTAAATTAATAGCACATTACTTAATCGTCAACCCCTGCCACCCTAAAACAAATGTGATTCAGAGCAGTGCTTCTCAGGTGACTAAGAAGACTGGCTGGAGGAAGGATGGGAGGGTTCTTTAAAAAAAAACAAAAAAAAACAAAAACAAAGGCACAACTAGCATTCACTTCTTGGGGTGGAAGAATGTCCCCTCTTGCAGAACAATCTGGCTTCAATATTCCAGCAAGTTTCAAGGGCATGTATCTCTGGATCAGGGATGCATTAAAACGCTACACACGAACATCTCCTTTCCAACAAATCAGCAATACTGCCCATTGCCGCCCGGATCAACCCTAGAAGGGAAACAAGGAACATTGTGCGGACAGTGTGACTGGACAAAGAAAAAGCTACTTTCCAGTTTCTCAATAGCAGGATAACCTTCCCCACATGAAGACAGAAAAAGAAGAGAAAAAATAAAAAGTCAATTCTATGTACAAGGTGGAAAAAGAAAAATCTATTCCTATAATCTGTACAAATTCAGGCCTATACATTATTTACTTTACTGCAAAAACCGAAAATTCTAAACAAAAACTATGAGAAAATTTGTGACAAAAGCGGTAGGAAAGGTGTCTTTCCCCTTTTTCCTCAACTTCAGGCCTTCTCAAAAAAAAAAAAAGAAAAGAAAAAAAATAGACAGGGCTCTGACATCTGTACATAATGGTAGAAATCAAAGTTCATATCTCTCCAACTAGAGGGTAGTGGGGAAGGGAAGGGATGTCTTGCTTCGCTCCTGCTGTCTGGTCAGAGGATGTCATCACTGGCGGAACTCGAGCTCGTCAACACTGATTACTTTAGTAGACGGCATGGAAGGGAGGGGTTGTTGCAGCACGTCAGATCCAAACCACTTGGCCAGACCCAGAGGAGGGCTGCCACCTCTTCGCTGGGAATGGTTTGTCCAATGGGGACCGTAGCTCTGTGACTGGGGTCCTCCTAATGGAGCCACTGGCAGATCTGTGGAGAAAAAAAATTAAAGGGGTCATATGATGTTGCTAAAAATAAATTTTTTTGTATTTGGTGTAATGAAATGTGTTTATGCGGTTTAAGGTTCAAAAAACATTATTTTCCACATACTGTACATTGTTTCTCCTCTATGCCCCGCCTTTCTGAAACGCGTTGATTTCTACCAGGATCAGGAAACAGTCCTCCATAAAATGCGCTGGACACATCGGAATATTTGGGTTTAACTGTTCTGGAACACTGTTGTAAATACAACTTTACCACTGATTTCTAGTCATCTTTGCAACTTTACAGATCTTCTTTATGCACCAAGAGCTTGTAACACTCCAAAGAGAAAGGAAAAACTGAAAATCGCATTATATGACCCCTTTAAAATTTTAAACCATAAAAAAGATAAACAATCAGCATATTCATTTGCTCTCTTCTGTCTGGAAGGGAAGTTTCAGTAATAAACATGTTTAAAAGCTTGAATCTAGTAATAGACTGATAAATTGGCATTGAGATAATCGGAAATGGATCAGAACTCCACACGCTTTGATAACTCAAGTAAATAAAGTCTAATGTCAGCAATTCTTTAAATTGCATTTATCATCATTAGATTAAAATCAGATTATCAGCCATTGGCCACCTAGACAGTACATAGCAGTAAACAGTGACAGTAAAGACATCAATGTTTCAAAAGATTTCCATTTCAAATACATTTTCAACTTTCTATTCAAAGAACTGATTTAAAAAAATTTTAAGTTTCCACAAAAACATTAGGCAGCACAACCGTTTAAGATTGCTAAGAAATGCTTGAGTACCAAATCAGCACAATTTCTGAAAGATCATGTGACTGCAAAGCTGAATTTTCAGCAGCCATCAGTTTTCAATCACAGAAATAAACTACATTTTTAAATATTATAGTTGTAAAAATGTCACAATATTTCTGTTTTTACTGCATTCTTGACCAAATAAATGAAGCAGTGATGAGAATAAGACTTTTTAAAAACCATGTAAAAAAAATTGTTTAATTACTAATCCATCTTTTGAACAGTAGTGTTTATCACTCTAATGTAGTTATTTTAAAACACTGGTGCTGTACTTACTTGGTCTCTGCTGCTGTTGAAGCTGTTGCTGCATGACTGCTAACTGCATGTGTGTTCCTGCAGCTCTAGGGGTCATGAGTGGATGCCCTGCAGGACCAAGGGGATAAAGAGGCTGCCCTAAGAGGGCTGGGGGCAAACCCTGAAGCTGAGACAGGTCTACAGCCTGAGGGAACATGCCTATTCATGCAGAGGAAAAACAAAACTTCACTAACACCATTTTCAGTTTCCAACAGGAATATGGCTGGAAAGGGTATGAATAGAGAGAAATCAAAAAGTGTTAAACCAACCTGTTTGTAATAATGTGGGTCCGAGCTGTTGAGGCTGGATGCCCTGAGCCAGCATCCTCTGCATCACACCCGGGTAAAGCTGGGGTGGAGGTCTGACCAAGGGGACGTGGGGAAGCAGAGGGACTGGATACATCTGGGGTCTGGGGAAGGGAGAAGATGGTCCTGGTGACAGCATAGTGGGAGTGTGGCCTGTTGTTGAAGGAGGCCTGGGTCGGTCTGGGTCTTTACTATGACGACTCCGAGTAGGAACAGGGGTGGAGCATGCCTTTACCCCACCAGTCTGAGGACCACTGGTGTCCACATCTTCCAGAAAGGAACTGGGTGATGGAGGCCCATCTATAAGTGAAAGGAAACTGCTTTAGGAAATAAGAAAAAGAGAACGAGCTACTCCATTTATTCACCCTGCTCTAATCTCTTGGTGTATGTACATTGTTTCATACCCTCCTGTGAGTTATGGGAGTTAACGGTCTCCTCCTTGCTTCCTGGTCTACTCCCAGGATCATCTCGACTTTTCTCTTTTGACTCGTACATTTTTTTGATCACAGAAGTGGGAGTGAAGGATGGAGACAACTGCAGCAGGGGAGAAAATGTTGCTTAAACCAAACAATGAGTCATTTGTTTGCATTTATGTTTGTTTTTTGGTCTATAGAGAGACATTTAAGTTACTTAACAATAAAATGGCTTTATAAGTTGATATAATACATCAGAGGCCGTATTCACAAAATATTTTATCTTGGCACTAAGAGTACTAACAGTAAATGCTTTTAGCTAAGAGTTTCCTCTTAAAACCTACTCACAAAGCTGCTGAGACCAAGTTTTACTAAGGAATTGGGAAAAATCTTATGTTAAGACAAAGGTCAGGGCTGACCTGGTTGCTATGGATGATGTCATCAAGCTTACGAACTACGCCAACAGTAATTGGCTGAGAGGGGATGGGTCTCTGTTAGTGATTTAATCATAGAAATATTGCAGAATGAGGTAAATGTTTGTCTCTCATTCATCAACCTCAAATAAGGCTTGTCATTTGAAAATTAAAACATGCAAGTTGTAACAACTTTGTACGGCTGCTTGCTCTAAAGTTAACTTGGATAAATGTGTGCTATTAAGCACATATCCAAGTGTTTTTTCGGAGTGTGGAAGCTATTAGCGCACAGAGGCACCAGCGCAATCACTGGCATTTTTTCCTGATAACAGTGGAAACAACAAAATTAGCCATCATGTTTTCTCATGC